GGGGGGGGGGGGGGGGGGGGGGGGGGGGGGGGGGGGGGGGGGGGGGGGGGGGGGGGGGGGGGGGGGGGGGGGGGGGGGGGGGGGGGGGGGGGGGGGGGGGGGGGGGGGGGGGGGGGGGGGGGGGGGGGGGGGGGGGGGGGGGGGGGTCAGGCACGGGATTAAATAAATATATATATAGGTTTAAGTTGATTGAGATGGTGAGGATGGGGTTTACCTGAATGCACTGCTCGGCGGCCAATTGCTCGCCGAGGGCATCCTGCGTCCTCCTCCACAGGTCGTCGAACGTCCTGCGATTCAAGGATTCGAGCATTCAAGGATTCGACACACACCGTATTACGCACGACAGACCCTTTTGCAAATTTACGAGCAGCCAAATCGTTCACATACCACGAACGAGAGAGAAATCCGTTTATAATTTGCATGAACCCACCTATGCGACATGTACGTGCAGCCAGCATCCCATAGAGACAGCATCCATCGAGATCCGCATCGATCCAACAAGCCCCATATCTCAGCGTGAGAGCGGATCCCCTCCGTCCCCGTCCCCCCCCTCCGGCCCCGCGGGATCGATACCGCGAGCGAGAACCCCGATTCCCCCCTGATTCTGGGGGATCGCGAGGGACCCGGAATCCGGCGATCCCCGCCCCGACGCGTCTGCTGTGACCCCGACGTAGCAGACGAAAACTTGCTCGGGCGAGCCGCGCGCTCCGATTGGTCAGATCTCCCTCGAGCCACCCGACACTCCCCCCTCGATGCCTTTCCCCCCCCCTTCCGAATTGCGACGCAATTCCCGTTAGCGCGGATCTTATTTTCGCGTTCTCGAGACTCTCGGCATCCTCGCAGTCGATTTCTCATCCGAATCGATTAAACGAGAACAGACGAAGAGACGTTCGACGATCGACACTCAAAATCGTTCTCGTCCCACTCGTCGACCCAGGGAACGCAAAAGCCCTTTAATTTGGCGGATTTAGCGCTGCCGCTGCAGCCCTCCGCCGTATATAAGAGGGTACAAGAACGCATGTGGTATTGCCAGTCAGCGTTCTCCCCTCGTTCGACTACGTTCACCTCTCAAGTTCAATCCCTCGAATTCTCAACTCAGCAATCATGCCCAACAAGGATGCGAAAGGAAAGGGTGAGTGTCTGTTGCCAGTGAGTGAATTGCCCCCTATTGCAAGTGAATTGTGTGTGTTATCCCCGATTGATCGTGTGTGTCAGGTGCAGCCAAGAAAGGCGAAGGCGACGCCAAGCCTGCAGGCAAGGAGGACAAGAAGACTCCCGCCAAGTCTTCCCCCGAGGAAGGCAAGGATGGTGGCAGCAAAGCTGCTGGTATAAATTTTTATTTTACGTTTTTTTTTATATTCATCGATTTTCTCCTCTCGTGACCTTGCGATCGATTTGGCCGTCAACCGAATGCGAGGAATCGAGTCGGACTTTTTTTTTTTAATCTTTTCGAGTCTGCCCTTGAGAAGCCGTCGGCCTTCGATTGTGCCGAGCCCTGATGGTCTCTTTTTTGTCCTTTACGTAGGTGGAGCCAAGAAAGGAGGCAAAAAGTAGCCCAGGTGTTTCGTGTCGCCTCATTCTTCCCATCTCATGAGTCGCACTTCAACTGGCTATCAGTTTCTCATCTCATTTTTCCCCCTCATTTTCGTCCCATGATTTTACCAGTCATGTACTCCCTACTCCGGTTTTCAAAATAAATGTGATGTCTATCGTACCACTTTGAACGTTTCTTGGGGTGGGGTGGGGGGACCAGTCCTGGTGGGGCGATGTCCAGTGGGGCCCAGCTCGGTGGAAAAGTTGAGGTGAGATTGACACAATTTCCGGTTTGGCCTTATCTCGATTTTTCGTATCTCCGTTGCAGAAATGCGCTGACACGTAATTGCGGGCGGCTGAGCTTTTTTCCCCTACGCAGTTGCAGGGATGCGCGCTCCCGATTCCGGATCCTTCCATGTTGGGCATATGCGACTTGGGGGTTTCACCTTCGACTTGGGGGTTCGGCTTCGATGCAGAATTATTTAGGGATCCTTACTCTTAGTTGGTTGAAACTCCCAGCTGATAATTTAAATTATGAACTTAAGGAATTTAATTATGCCACACCCATTAGCAATTTGGAATTGATTAAAATTTAGCAGTCAATACTGACTAGCCGGCTAGTTTTTTGCAGGCTAGCCGGCCGCCCTTCCGCGTTCCAACGCTTCCGTATCCTAATCTTCGCATGCACTTGGCACGGAGCCACTTCGCACTCGGATCCATACGATCTAAATCCACGCAGAAAACGTTTCTGCACCCCGTTCCACCGGGTAAATCGTACCCGCGTCATTCGGCCAGGGCTTTCCAAGCCAAACAGCATTAAAAATAGTCGCCGCGGATCGTGTCGACTTCCGTGTCGTTCATGGGTCGATGAACCCGGGCAAAGTTTTTGGCAGACCAATTTGTGCAGTGGTCTCGTTCAGTGCTGCTTCCTCCCTACGTCTCGTGCAATTCTTAATATCCTTCCGGATGACAAAAATTGCATTCTCACGAATTTCGTGCGGAAACTGACTCGAGATTCTCGGTATATCGGACGTAGCCTCTTCACGAAATGATAATTATCACGCGAATTATCCCATCACGTGATACTGGCCAGGACGGTAACGATCGTCAGATGATCGTTAACCGTGAGAACACCTAGTTCTGTCGACTTGTTGCAAAGGCAGACCTTTCATGACGAAGGGCTGAAAACCGAAACGTTCAGCGACGCCTGCACGGCGGTTTTTCGAATCTCGCACCGGTCACGTGACCGGAGGATGGCAATTTCATGTCGGAGGGGGACCGCAGCGATAACGGCATGGATGTTGACTCGTCAGGCGAGCCGGGGACGGCGTCCGCTCCCTCTCCAGCTGATTTCGTATACGGCCTACTTAGTTTCCTTCTGGACGGTCCACGCGATCCTCCGTTCCCGTGATGGACGATTTGCCCGACAGCTTGACCTACTTTCTACTTCGATATCTCTGAGGCAAAGGACGGGGAAAAATGCGATTTCTTGCTCGCTGAGGCGCACTTCCGTTCAATGATAGGAGCTTACCTGCCTTGCCGGAGCCGAAGAAACGACGAAGCTACCAACTCGAATCTCGAATTGCTGCAAGATGTCCTTCAGAAAAGAGATCGGACGCATGCACGTGTTTCACTCGAGGTCTTCCTCGCTGTAAGGGAAGAATGGATTCAGCACATTGTACAAGAGTCCATGGGCGTCACTTTAAAGAAAAGAGCATTCCCAGTCGTGGCAGGGAGCATAGTTCCAATGCACCTGCGAGGTCCTTCAGTGTCACTTCAGATGGTGATGAACATGGTGTGAGAATCCCACCCTCGAAGGACAGACATGAAAAGCCACGACCCAACTGGGAGAACAAAATTAGAAAAACATTGCTCCACAAGTCGTTGCAGTGGGCTGCTGGTCGCTCCCCCCTCTGTTGCAGGTTGCATGGGTGAGCAAGCCTTGTTAGAAGCCTTTCAATGCTGTATTGACTGACATCATTTGAGAAACCCAATGTTATGATGCCACAGTGGCGACTAGACTGCATAAGACCAATCCTCCTCTGAATGGCTTATATACCAGGCATTTCAAAAGTCATGCACTCAGTTTAGGCAACCAAACCAAGCATACCGATGGTCAGTGTTGTGAAAATTGACGTACAGACCAATTTGACCTTAGGAGGCCATGTTCATCATAGCAGCACCACATGGATACAGGTATAAAAGTCATCATCATAAAATCTGAAGTGGTTTTCGACAAGCCGATAAAATGGTTGAGGAGTCTTCATGCATGATGATGTTCTACTCCACATCACAGAGTGAAACACATTCCTTGGGCCGCTTTCGGAGACGATGTGATCAGCCGACACTCTGAACTTAGATTCTGGCTGGCAAGATCACCCAATCTCACTCCAGCAGACTTCAGGTTTTGGGGTTAAATGACCCACGGGAACCACAGTGATCATCTATGAATGATTTCCATTGTCATCATGAAAATGAGTGCATTGCCTTCTCTAAGCTCAAATAGGTCTGTAGGCCAACACTCACAACAGTGGACATTGGTATGCTTGGTGTGGTTGCCTAATCACACTGCATTACTTTTGGAATGCTGGGTACTTGTACTCGGATGCATGATCAACTTCCACTGGAAGAATAGGACCCAAGTGCGAAATTCACTTTACGTTCAGAATCTTACATATCAGAAATTTTATCTAACCAATATCACATGACAAGATTCACAACATGGCAGGAATCCATGCTAGGGTTTCCTCACCCCACATCCTAAAAAAATCATTGGAAAAATAAAGAGAGAGAAGACCTCTCCCTTTTCCACTGAGAATACAATACAAAATAAAATTGGACATTATTGTCTGAAAACTTTTCGGCACTGATACAACCATTCAGGTGCTATCTTCACGTGCATAAAAATTCTCAATTAATGAGGCTTGAATCCTCATAAATGCAAAGGAAACACTGCATGTCCTAACTGCATAAAACTTCAGTAGTCAAACAAGCCATGTCAAAGCATGAGAAATACATGGTAACCAAAATGATTGGTTGCACATCACAGTCAAGGTTTTGGCAAGCCAACCATTGGCATTAGATTGGGAATATAAATCAGAGACATGTTTCATGACAACATTGCAGCTACCTTTGCAAATATGAATCTAAAAGTCTGCACACAAGTATGAAAAGCAAGTAAAAACTTTGTCACACTATTTAAAGCATTCTGCACAAGCTTCAATGAACACTGCAGAATGTTGAGGTGAAATGATGAAACCCAGAGAAGGTTGATGCAATATTAAATGTTGATATTGAGCTCTCCTGCATTGAAGCCACCAATGAACTTCTGCTCAGTTCCCCGGATGGACAAGATCTCACTCTCCAGCTTTGGGCCTTGTCTCTCCTGCAAAACACAATCTTAACATTCAGGCAAACACCCCAAAAAATGAAACAAAAGAGGCATTCAATATGTGAAAAAAGCAGTACACATGCTGTTGGTTCACCAATATTGGGGGTCTTGACAATTACAAACAAGTTTTTGATTTGACCATTTCACAATAAAAATGGAAATGACCAACCAGTTCTCTCCTGCTCAAATTGGTGCAGTCTGACCAAAATTAATATAGAAGAAACAACTGCAATGAAAACTTAATGCTATTTTAATAAAGACATAAAATTCAAATGACATCAGAAATCACCACCTCAACTGAGAGTCAAAATCTGAATAGAGGAAACAAATGTTAAAATTCAGCTCGGGATGATATGCTCTGATTTCAGATATTAAAGTAGTAAATAATTAACTCTATGAGACAACTTCCAGTGGGATGGGACCCAGGAGATGAGACATACTAAAATAACCACTCTCAAATACCCCTACAAATGAGATAAGGCTGACCTTGCCCATGGGACAGCGTTCCCATGAGGATTCTGCACACTGTTTGCAGGGTTTTGAGGGAATGCGGTCGAATGCAATGGTACGCTTCCCGCATTTCTTGCACTTGAACCAGCGCTTGTTAGCCTTCATCCTTTTGATGGCATGACCCTGTGCTCGACACAAGTCCGACTGAGTGAATGCTCTGTAGTTGCACTGGGAATAAAGGTGGAGATTTGGTTAAATATGGCAAGATACAGTAAAGATACTGCAAGCATTACTTTCAGAGAACATGTTCTTGTTTCTCAATGTAACAAATCAGTAATGGTGGTATGCCAATATCACTAGAAGAAAAACAAGAAGGCACCTCCTATAGACAAAGGCAAGAGGTAAGAAAGTGATTCACCTTTGAACAAACCACAACAGTTGTGGGGACCTCCCAGATCTCTAGCATCTTCTGCTCCACATTTTCCTTCTTCTCGAGATCATCAAAGTATTTCTCTGCCGCTTGAGCCTCGGCAGCCGAAACCAAGTCTGTGTGCCTGGATCTTGCAGACATGATGGCCTTCAGATCCTCTGCACTCATTTGCTTCCCTGGCATCAACTGCGACATATATACTTCAGCTGCAGGAAAAAAGGGAAATGATAAGGTCAAGCCACTTCTACAAGTCTGAGTTATCAGAATTTCAGACCAACCTGGTTTTGAGTTGGAGTCTGGTCCTAAATCCTCATTCACTTTCTGGATAACCTTGGCTTTCTGTTCATCTGTTGGGGATTTGCGGATGGAGTTTGGGTTCACTTTCCCCAGGGTTCCTTTCTTTTTTACCAACTGTATAGCTCTCCTCTGAAAAGCGAGACTCATGCAGTTTTTTTTACCAACTCAACACTTCAACTACCAAAATGAAGCAAAGCTTAAAATACCTTGGCATCTGGAGAAGAAATCTTGTAGATATCCAAATCCACCAACTGCCCTGGAAGAAGCCCTCGACCAAGTTGTGGCATGGCAGGTTTCAAGGTATCCTTCAACTTTTCTGAATGCTTGTTCAGCAGTTCCCTTGGAGTAAGAGATTTCTCCTTTGCAGTCAATCCTGACAAAGCAGTAGGTTCAAACTCCTGCGATAGGTGGCGGAGGAGGTTCCGTGATCCTGCATTTGGCACCACGAGCATATCGGCACTAAAAGAGGCATAGGCACAAGATATGAATCCCACAACTGATGCCTGTCGAGAGAGAAGACATCACAAAATCATCTGCAATGGTTGCTTACAGTCCTTCCTTGGCTTTGGAAAGGGCCTTGAACTCAGACTCGTTGAGATGCTTCAACCGCCCAGCCTTTTCCTTCTCCATGTTCAGGATCTTCTGTGCCTCTTGCTTCATCTTGAGGCTCCCAAGGTTGAATTTCCCTCTGGCACGCTCCCTTGGTGGAGACTGGATAGATCCAGTACAGTATATCTGAGCATTGCCAGATGCCTGGATAAAAAAAAAATTCCCCTTTGACAATGCAGACACTCCTTACAAGAAACTCTGAAATCAGGATGGAAACAGTGCAAACAATTCTGAAATCAGTCAGAACTGAGCAAGGCTGACCTGATTGTTCGGTCGTTTTCGATGCTTTGGCTCCACTCCAGAAAAGGTAGACTGGAGTTCAGACCTCTTTAGGGCAGACTTTTTGTATTGAGTCTGCAGGTGATAGGTGCAGAACTCACATTGGGACTTGTTCACAGGCATGGTGCATGGCGTTCCATTGGTCTTGCGAGCACGACAGATGCCCAAGTCTTTTGAAGTCCCAATGAGCAAGGCCCGGTTTTCATCATTGATTGAAAGTGTTGCCACAACATTTTGGTTGTTATCACTAAAGGAAATATCAAAATGAAAGAAAGTTAAAGAAGTGCAAAATAATAGAAAAACATACTCAGTGAACATAATACAGTTGAAATCCCTGGAGATTTTCCCATTCAAGTTGATGGAGAACAAGAAATGTCTTGGCTCTGCATACAATGAAACTTACTTTTTCCCATTCAACTTTATCCATAGTATTATGCATGACAAAAACAGCAAAATAGACACATATCCCCTGGCATGAGGATGATGTGACAAGTGTATAAGCAGTCCAAGTATAGTAATTTTTCCATTTTTGTCTAAATCTCATACACCTTCTCATTGCGGCAATTGGAAAACACCTGCAGTCAGAAAAAATCAAATGCCTTCTTGTATGTGGTGGTGCCATATTTCAGATGACTAGTTCCAGAGAATAAGAAGTTGTTACCCTCAAACTTGAAGGTTCCATTTCTAACTTACATACATTTTTCTAGACAAATGCCATATGAGACATATAATGATTATCCTTTAAATTCACATCCTTCTTGAGAGGGAAATATGCAGTTTTAGGAATAAAAATATGGCTTAGCTAAAATTCCCAGTCCCACTCACAGACTTCAATGGGAGCACGTCCCCAAGACTTCAACATAAACTGAATTTTCTTTCCAAGTATATTTGATGCATTTACTTTGCATGAGATTCCATGATAGAAGGATTGAGAAGGCCAACAACAGTGCCAACTGATGTCTTCCACAGATTCTTGTGTGCCTTGCCAAAGAGGAAAAGGGACACCATCTGGGTGCAGTCATGTAGATCATTCAGGTTCCAGATGCGGTATGGATTCCCCTGGAAGCCAAAATCACAAGGCAATGGCCAAGCTTCAGATATCAATCTTTATCTTTGGATATTTATTTGGATGAAAAATATAGCATTGGGGAGTAAGAATATATTCTACCTTTTGAGACTGTTTGGAATCACTTTTGGATATGAGAACTCCAATGGTCACCCAATCTCCCTCTATGTCAATGGAGGAGCCTTTGATGATATGGCCCTTTATCAATCCCAATCTCACCAAATGCTTCCCATACATTCTTCCCTGGAGATCCACAGATGATATTATGGGATTCCTAGGAGAAAATAATAGGTCACAACCAGTGCATCCCAACCTTTATGAAAAATAACACTCAGACCAAATAGACACTAACGTCACTCTTATCCCAGAAAACTGCTCCAGGAATCCTGAGTCTGAACCAGATACGAGAATCTTGGAATTTCCGCTCTTGACTTGTTTCGTTTCATTGTGGACAATCACTCGCTTGGTTCTTTCAAGAACTGCCATCTGCTTGTCAATCTCCCTTGACTTCTTTTCAGCAGCCTGATGTGCAATGCGTTTCTTGACATCCTTCCCAAATGCATTGTACCGGCTCTCGAGAGGGCAGCGCTCCTCCTCTTCATCGCTTGAGTCCAGAAAACCCAATTCCTCTTTTGTGGGTAGTCTAGGCTCTTCCTCCCTTTTCAAGACTTTCTTCTGGCTAAGCTTCTCAAGCAGTCTTTTGGATTCTTCAGCAGGTATGACTCTCTTCACTGCCTTGCTATTAGAAGCATCAGGTAAAGAATCCAGAACTTCAGTTGTTCGGCTGCTTGCCATTCTCACCTCATCTGGTGTGTTTGAACCTATGGGAGAGTAAAAGTTTTCAATATTTATTCAACATCATGAAATTACTCGGACCTAGGGTAATGTAATATGCTGCAGATAAAATGAAAACTTGAACAGACAGAAAACTCACCAGACTTGCTTAAGTTGTTCTTTTGATCATCCGTTTCCTGTCCTTTTCTGTTCTGTAGTTTCCTTTGAATCTCCTCCATTTTTCTCTGAAGCTCTTTCAACTCTTGATTCAGTTCCTCATCTGGGTCCTCATCAGGAGCATGGCTACTGCCTTGTTCCCCTTTAAAATTTAACTCTGACAGTTCAGTTTTACCACATCTACCAGTACTACTTTTCTTTGTGGAAGGGCACCTTTTGTCAGGCAGAGGATCCAATGAGTTCCTCATTCCACCCTGCATCATATCATCCTTTGAAAATTCATCCTCATCAAGAAGTCCTACCAAAGTGTCCAGGGCATCAGTGTCACCTCCACTTTCATTTACACCCTCCCTCCTGCCTTTATCCAGAGAATTACCAGTTTCCTTGGGCATGTCTTCATTTTCACTATTTGACTCTATGATTTCCAAAGCAGCTTCTTCATCACTGTCAATGTCTGCAGCACTAAGTGTCTGCTTTTGCAAGTCCTTTCCACTCACTGGCTTTACAATTTGCACAACACCATCACCTTTGTTATCACAATCATCATCACCATCTGAGCCATGAAATTCCTTGAGAAGCTCATCTAGAATTGCATCCTTTTGAGGATCCATTTTTCCTTAAATGAAGACAACGAAATCAAACTCCTTGTCCTATGGTGGCACACTGGAGTCCCTGCACAAGAATAGCAACAATGTTAGTCCAAGGCTGAAGCTGATTTGTAGGAGCCCTACATATAAGACCAAAAAATTGGACTTTGTGAATCAACAGTTTCTCCTCTTTTCTGTGAGCTGATGCTTCTGATAACACCATAGGGATATAACTTAAGCATACCTAGGTCTACACTTCCACAATGGTTGCCAGGTTACACCAAGGCTAGTTCATAAAAAATGTTGACCATTAAAACTGATCAGTCTAGGCCTAATATTCTCTTTGCCAAGATTACCATTTTCTATCAGTTCTAGGCCTAGTCTTAGAATGGCTTGACCAAAAGCTAGCAATAAGCCATTCAAATCAATTTGCTTTAGTGTTTTAGTCTTAGACAAAGTTGATCTGATTAGAGTTAATATGCCTGAACTTCATATCTTCCTGACATGTGAAAGTAACTAGATTAAAATGTAACATGTTACTTACTAGTAACTAAATCTACATGAATTTGGTATGATCAAAAGTCAACTGAAAAACTGTATTTACCAACATGAAACCATAATGCCGTTTAATTAGTTGAAATGTTACTTGAGTTGACTGAGCTCAAAATTACTGCAGTTGCCTGAAAGTTCATTAGCCAAAAAAAAAGGCCTAGCTGGCATTTGCACAGGTGTGTTGAATGTCTGATAGGCTTAAGTCTACGGCCTAGCCCAAGGTTACAGCGATAAGTAAATCCAGTCGAATTAGATAAGAGCTAGGCCTAAGCCCAGGCATCTAGGTCCATCCTGCCATAACAAGATTGAACTGTCAAGCTAAGTCTAAGGCCTTAGTCCTAAGTTAGTCCTAACGTTAAGGCAATTGACTCCTTCTAAATCTTAGACGAAAGACCATTCAGCCAAGAATGATTTTCATCGTGTGCAAAGCAGCAAGCGTTCCCGAAAACCTGACGATCTGCCTGCCGGTGAGGGACGCGAGCGAGCGACCCCCGCTGGCACCATGACCGCCAAGGCGATTCGGCGTTCGCGGGCTCCCGTTTCCATGGTTACCATCCGACTCGCGTCCCTGTTGCCAGATGTCTTCCCGGTCGCTCCTGGTCGCTAGTGCCTCGCACATGAGCGAAACGCGTCGATCCGTGGTGACGTGAGCTCTTCGCCGATGGGGAAAATCGAATCAGTTTCCGGTAAGCTGAGTTTTCCGTGCTGCTCGTTGGAAAAGAGTGAGCCTTTCCATCGTTTTTTAAGACTTTTTGTTTTCGTTTCCTGACTTTCGTGTCTCCCTCGGAATTTTCGAGATAAATGTCACGCCGAGCTGGCCGACATCGCCGAGATCATTTTTAGAGAATCAGGGGGGGAAAAAAAAAAATTAAACCGTTCGGGGGAGCAATCAGCGAGATTTCCCACTCACGTCTTCTTCCCCTTTCACGGTCTGCGATCGCGGAACTCTCATTATCTGGAAACGGTTCTACCTCTTCAAAATGGATCGATTATGAAAGTGGAAAAAAAAAATTATGGTCCAGTCCTCAGTAGAATACTCTAAAAAAAAAATAATTATTTCTAATCACAGGCTGTGTAGGAGTAAATGAGAAACTAAATTATTCCGGACTCGATTACGTTCGAATAAACGCAAATTTACACGATAAATTATAATTAGTTCCAGAGTGGAAGAAATATAAATAGAAAAATAATGGAATCAGCTTAGACGGCGAAGCGAGTTCCACGTTCGTCGAGGAGGAAATCGAGACACTTTTGCATCCCAGCCGTATCGTACAGGAAAGGATTCCCTTCCTGTTTTCACGGATGAGATCTGGGATCCCAGGCAGATCCGAGATCGCAGGCGGTCCTTCTCGGGTTCTGAGGCCGAGAGTGAAAGTGTCTCGATGTATAAAACGGGGGGAGGGGGATCGGGGGCATGTCATAATGGGGATGGGGCTGGTTCCGTCGACGTGGCTCTGGGCGGTGCTGGTGCAGGGGTCCTGGGGGATCCTGTCGGTCTCGGATCGGCACAAGGACCTTTACGGTCGGGGTCAGTCCTACGCCAAGACCTACTCGCACAAGTACCTGTTCAAGTACTACACTGACGAGAACGGAAATCATCACAAGGGCCCGATCGTGACGGAATTCCCCGACGGACTGACCCTGGAACGCGATCCTCTCCTCGACCGCGGTTACGGCCATCCTCACCCCGATCTTCTCCTCGACCGCGGTTACGGCCATCCTCACTCCGATCTTCTCCTCGACCGCGGTTACGGCCATCCTCACCCTGATCCTCCCGTCCAACTGCTCGCGTATCCGAGCTCCTCCGAACGATACAACCACGACCGGGAACGACCGCGGGACGTAACGTCCCACTACGTCCGCCCTCCGTACAGTGCACCCGGGCCCTACGGTGCACCCAGGCCCTACAGTGCACCCAGGCCCTATGGTCCACCCGGGCCCTACGGTGCACCCGTGCCCTACAGTGTCACTCAAACCTACATCGATCCCACGTCCATCGACATTCCCACTCGCGAATACGGACTTTATGGTGCTCCCCATCTTGGGGAGAAATTCTCCTCGACCGTTTTCGCCGTCCTCCCTCTCGAATCCGAAGACATCCTCGACAGAAATCGCTACCACCAGGAAGACATAAAATACTCCACCTATCCCCCCTACCCCCCTCACTCCTCCACTCCTCCATACCCCCCTCCATCCTCCTACCTCCGCTACCCCTGGAAGTCCCGCTACGAAACCCGACCCGACACCTCCTCCCTCTCCAATCCTCCCCACACCTCCTCCCTATCCAACCCTCTGCACCCCTTTCCTCGCGACCGCTACCGTCACCCCCCACTCGGCTGGAGATCCCAAGGGTACATCCCCACCATGCTCTCCTCCTTCGTGAGACTCCTCGCCCTCCAACCCGCAAATTTACACATGAAACACATGGGCTACGGAATATACAAATTCGACGGACCGGACGCCATATTGGAGTGCGTATTCCCTCCCGACCTCCGCCTTCTCTCGGTGAGCCGAAATCTCTCCAGATGCAATTATTACACGTCTTTCCAGAAATTCTTTTATTATTTATTTTTTTAAGCGAGACGAGAAGTGACGTCAAGGCCCGTGTGAGTAACTAAAAAAAGCCACAGAACCTTCAGTACAACAAGGAACGTTTTCGCGCGGATGGAACCAGGAACTGAATGCAAAATTTAGCACAAAAAAATCCGAATGGCATTTTCAAGGTTCGAAATGTCGAAAATCGACCCAGCATAGACTCTTCCGGAATCAACGTCCATTCTCTCTACATATATTTCTTTCCAGCGGAAATAATGAGGTTGCTGTGAGACTTTCGTAAAGTGCTTCAGAAAAACGTTTCAATAAATTCTTGAAACAAAGTTTTCGCATTTACGGCCTCGTCCTCGAATCGCATACTCAGGAACACGTGGAATCCGCAAAAAAAAAATCGCGAAAGGCTTCCCTTTCCGGGTTGATGCTCTCGCACGACCGAACGACGAGCGGGAAGCAGGTCCCGAAATGAGATATCACGGATGGCAGGAGCCGCGTGAAACGTCGGGGGGGACGCAGAAGGAGTCTTAAAGGTTCTGGAGCGGAGAAGATCGTCTTTCGGCGGGAAGTTCCAAAAGATGCTAAAAAAAATAAAAATAAGAAATGATGAAATTCGGCCCAGCATGCAAGTCGTAAACTGCACGATCAGTTTGGACGATGAAATCGTGTCGTGCACCGAAACGTGCAAGCCACATTCAGTCTCCATTTGATTCCGCCTGCATCCTCCATCCGATCAGTAGTATTTCATTCAAATCGCGTCTGCTGGACTTAGTCCAATAAAGTCAGTCGGTCTCATTTTACTTTGTTTTCGTACACCGTCGAGAAAAACCCTTACGACCTGCGTCACAGACCTCCACACGCCACTGGGCACAGCGGCATCTCCATTTCTGGAAACCAGGCCGTTAAGCCTTTCCTGTTTTTCCGTTAAGCTTAGTTAAGTCAAGTTAAGCTAGAACGCCCCCCTCCATCAAATCAGAATCCCCCTCTGCCCCCTTTGCCCCCTCTGCCCCCTCTGCCCCCTCTGCCCCCT